AAACCCCGCGTTGTACTTTTTAAAAAGCTCCCCAGAAGAGGTTCGCACACATACCACAATTAAAGAGGGGCCGAAGGGATTTTTAAAAAAAGATGATAAGGCTTGTAAAAACGATCGGATCCCCGTTGATCTGTTTCTCATAGCCGGGGGAAAGCGTAAGTGCTTCAAAGAACACGCTAAAAGTTTATGGCGCATAAAGCCAGCCCGCGTAAAGTCTCCTGGAAAACTCCGTCCTAAGCACGCCGGGTTTCGGGAGCTGGGTCTCTGAGATCGCTACCGCAGATTCTGCCGCCGGAGTAGCCGGGGAGACAGAAGCATCCAGGAAAGGGAGGCCTGATTTATGAAGGGATCGGGTTTTCTCAAAGGGAAAAGTCACCTTAGGTAACGTGTTAGACCGCGTGGGGGTGAGGGGGTGGGGGTGGGGAGCGCTGCCCCTTTAAAGGCCGAGCAGTTGCCATCCAAACACAAGTAAACAGAGCGGTGGTGGCGGCGGGCGAGGGAGGGAGGGAGGGAGCGGGGCGGGCCTCCGCCAAGGGGCGGTCTCAGAACTTTTACAACCTCCGGAACGTTCGGCCCTGGGCGGGGCCAGAACGCTGGAGCCGTGAACATTCGAATCGCTGCGGCTCGGGGAGGGATCGCGGGCGGGGACTGAGCTCCACGCCACTCGAGCCGCTGAAATGTGATGGACCGCGGCGGGGGAGGCTCAGACTCGTCCCAAACTCCGCCGGAGTCGAAGGCTCGCGGCTCGCGAGGAAGCCTGGCTTGGAGGGGGAGGAGGAGGAGGTCTACGCAGGGTGACCCGACGCCGACCAGCCGGGGGACTTTACCCGCTTCCACGCAGCAGGAGGAGACTTCCCGGGACCAAGGGCGACCCCTCCGAGTCCTCCTTCCGTAACATGCCCGACGCTCCTTGGCTGAACCCTGGAGGGGTTTCCCGCCCGCCCTGCCTGGATCTAATGGCGCGGCCGAGGCTCTAGGATCGCCGGGCGAGCTTGCTCTTGCGAGGCCGGTCGGGAGAGAGTCGCCAGGGGGAGGTAAGTGGCTTTCCCACGCCCCGTCTCGAAGCGATCCCGCAGCGTGCCCGGCCGAGGAGGGGGTGGAGGCATCTCTGTGGACGCGGCTCTTAGGCAGGAAGGTGCCGCCGGGCCAGCCTGGGAACAGCGCTGAGGAGGAGAAGCCCAGCAGCAAACAACCCTCCAAAGGCAGACGCGGCCCCCTCGACGCCTCTTCCCCCTGCTGCCCCGCGGGTCTAGGTTGACACCGTCCAGAAATAGCGTCCCTCCCCCGAGTCAAAATGCGACGGGGTCCTCCTCCTCCCCCCTACGCGAAGCTGCTGGGGTGCTGGAGGCTGAGCTGAGGGTGGGCATTCCGGCTGCAGTCCGTCCGCAGCGCGCTGACTTGGGAGCAAGAGCCGTGGGGCTCAGGGGGGCTCGCCTCCGAGGACCAGGGCCGGGCTGCCCACCGCTTGGCCTTTCAGCTCAGGCAGCAGGCAGGCGGGCGGGGAGGGAGAGAGAGAAGGAGACCCGGGTTTACTTTCGGTTTGAAGGGCTGCTCTCGCCGTCGAAGAACCGGGGCAGAGCTGTCTGCTGCCCCACAACCCCGGCGGCGGGCGGCGTTCTCCCGCTCCGCCGCGTTTCGGGGTGGCCTCCTCGGAAGGTGACGCGCCGCTGTCTGAAGTTGGGAAGCGGGGAGGGTGGCTGTTCGCGGGAAGAAACACCCACCCCACCCCTTCTTCTTCTTCTTCTTCTCCGTTTCTTTTCTTGGTCTATTTATCCGCCGGCTCTCAAGATAATCCTTTCGGAGGCGCCGAAGTCGGCTGCAGGCTCAGTTTAGGCGACTGAGAGGAGCGCGGGCTGGAGGGCAGGGATGCGCTCTCTGATCCGGGATCTCCAAACAATGGCTCTACCTGGTGGCGGCGGCCCAGGACACTGGCCTCCCCCCCTTCCCCTCCCCACGCGGCAGTTGTGGTCTCTCACTCCCACATCAAAGCCAAACCTACTTTCCCCTCGTTTTTAAGAAACACTTGAAACGCCGGCCAAAATAAGGTCACTTCGGGAAGAGGCTTGTTATGGAGACAACAACACCGCCTTTGATTCAATTAAGGATTCGGAGTGGGAAGGGAAGTGGCCGGGCGTCTACCTAACATCCGTGTTTGATTCGCACCCTGGCTGCCAGTGAACCCTCAAAGGAAAGCGCGACTCTTGAGGTGGGGGGCCTAATTCTCCCCCCCTTCCCCTTTCTAGTTCTAAAGTTTGGCACGTAAAAGGGGTTTTACTTTGCATTGTGGTCCCGCTGATTTCAGGGAAAGGAAACGAGTCAAATTCAGAAAAGACCGATCGAGTGTGAATAACTAGTTAATTATAAGTTTCCTAGGGGGATCAGTAGAAAAACAGTTTGTAATTGTTTTGTACGGAATATAGGGTAATTTTCGACGTTTTCCCGGGCTTTGTGGCTATAGGCCCTGCGTGGTGGAAACTGAAAGGACTAAAAACGATTAAGTACAACCATATATATCTTTAAAAATCCTGCTATATTTTTTTAAAAGCCCGTGTCTTCGTGTGATGTTGTATCACTTTTTCCAGCAAACTGAAATTAGCAAAGGAACGTTGCACAATCTAAACACGTGTTTTTAGGAAAATGTCACACAGAATTTAGGGGAAAAAAGACTGAACGCGGGTTGGTAGATCCCACTGACGAGTGGGATACACTTCTGAAAAAAATGTGTTTAGGACTGAGTTGTAGAGATTCAGTTTTGTGCAAGAAATATTGCTAAAAACAAAGGCTAATTTTCCAAACGAACGACTAATGAGTGTATCCTTTTCCCTTTTCCTTTTCCTTGCAATGAAAGACACGAAATCTGTTTCTATTTTTAAAATAATCAAAGTTTCGGCCAAAGAATACACACATACTTTTCTATTATATTTCACACTGATTCTCATTCGAAACGAAATAATGGTCGGAGAAGGAAACCCAACAGGGGATAATTCTTTTTTTCTTTTTAATCTGTAAATGAATATCGCTGACTTCCTGTGAAGGGCCTAACACCTCAGTCTTATCCATCCACTCTAAAAGAGTTTACTGAGAGAGTAACGTCAAATGTTTCCGGTGGGATTCTCTTTCAGGTTAGGTGTTCAGCAGTAGCAGTAGGAGATCGATTCCCCCGAAAGAACTGAAACTGTCTTCCTGATCGATGCGCTTCAGCATCTCTCTCTGCCAGCCGAGAGGCCTTTGGAGAGGAGCGGGAAGGAAAGCTGTTAGCTGAAAGCGCATCAGTCCCGAATACACACTGACTTGGAACTCGGCAAGCCTCATAGGAACCCGATGGGGCTGACTTCCCAGCACGCGTGGCCGATGCAAGGGGGCTGGGGGCGAGAGGTTCGCACACAGACCACCGCCAGTCTGCGGTTGAGCCTTCCTACGGCCCGGAAGCGCGCGAAGAGTCTCTGATCCTGAAAAAAGGGAGTTTCTCTTTGGGAAAGGATTCCCGACGGTGATGAAAGAGGCGTCCCGTTTTTCTCCAGCTGAGCGGAGAGAGCATTTCTCTCTCCCCCCCCCACACACACACACCACCCCCACGCTTTATGTCGTAGCCACATTGTATTATCTGGTCCACATTTATAGCATCCTCTGCTCATCCCTTGTGAGAAATCTCCCTGGAAGTCGGAGACCTCCGGAGAAAGCGAAGCGCCAGCCAAACAATAATTTGAAGGATAACAATGCGGTGACCCTCCGAATCCCGGCCCCTTCTTGCCCTGGCCTGGCGTTGTCTGCCCGCTCACCCGAGGCGGCTGAAGACAGAGGGGGCTCCAGGACTGTGGCGCGTTGAGAGTGCGGGGCGGGGGGGGGAGGAACGAGCGAGGAGCGGTGGGAAAGTCGGTGAGGGCGGGAGGGAGGGTAGCGAGTTGCGCTTGAATGGGCTGAGCGAAACCCTCTGACGGTCACACACCGCTCATTAACTCCCCCCGGGGGGGGGCTCCCGGAGCGCATTCCAGCGGGGTGGGGGTGGGGTGGGGGGCGCCGCAGGCCAAGGAGATGCCCAGAGCCTGCCTGGCCTCCTTTCTCAGTCCCATCTCGACCAAAAGCCGAGGGGAGAGCCCTGGTCCCCCTTCCCTTTGCACGGGGAGAAAGGGTCTGGGGCCCTTTGGAAACCCACCCACCCACTGCAGCCCCATTCCAGATCACTCAACTGGGACCAGTTCATAGTGATGAAGCAACCGGGTTTGCTTAAGTTTTGTGTGTGCGCGCGTGCGCGTGCGTGCGTTTCCTCCCCCACCGTATTATCTGGTTACCCCGGGTCAAAACCTTCCCGCTGATTTCTCCGGAGGGTGGCTTTTCAGCCGCCTGGCTGGTGGCGCTTATGGAGCCCTCCGGAGTTCGACAGCCGACCTTGATCTTGGGGGCGCCTCTGTCTTTCCCCGGGGGTCGGTGGGTGGGGAGCGCCTCCGAAGGCCTTTCCCTGCGCCAGAGCAGAGCCAGCGAAAGGGAGAAGCCGCCCGATGTGGCCGAGCCGGGCTCTCCGGTCAGGCTTTCCACGGTTGTGACCTCCCAACCGGCTTTTAGTGCCTCTTTGTTATTTTTCCTCCCGGATCCCGTTTCCCGCCCGCCTGTCAAAGAGGCGGCTGCCCAGAGCCTCCAAACGTAGCTAAGGGAGCCGAGCAGGGAAGAGGCCGGCCCCTGGCGCAGAGACGGGCAACGCCAAGGAAAGGGGGAAGGGGGAGGGGGGGTCAATCTCACGCCCTCCGATGGGGCCCGGCGGCCGGCTCTGCCAGCGGCACTCGCCTCCGGGAGTCTGGTGGGGGCAATTTGTCCGCCCCCCCCCGATCTGGCTGCCTGAATCGGGACCCTCCCTCCATGGCCCGCTGGGGGGCTGCAGCCCACGTGTGAGCCCTGAGCGGCCCGCGCGGGAGCCAATCAGGAGCCGAGGCCTCCCTCCGGTAACCGTAACGGGAGTGACTCCGAATCGGCCGGGCTGTGTGGCGCAGACCAGCCCCGCCGCCGGGAGCGGGCGGGAAAGTGGCTGCTAGGTCCGGGGGCCCCTCGCCAGCCGCTCGCCCGCGGCTCCACCCTCCCGGCCGTCCTCCTGGGTGGCGACCGGCCCCGGCCAGCTGGAAGGCCTCTGGATTTGTTTAGAACCTGCGGCGCTGGCGGGGGCGGGGGCAGTGTTGCCTTTCT